AGGAACTAAGAGCAGCGACTGTGGATCACCACCCTGCAAATGTCCCAGAAGCTTCAAACACAGAAAAAAAACCATGCAGTCTGAAAATAAAACTTGAAAAACAATGTATTTAAACATGTAACATCAGTCCTGACATCCCTTTTCCTCAAAGATGATGTGCAGATGCTTTCCAAACTTTATAGCTTACTAATCCACATCGTGTTAGCGTTCCTTGGCCTCATTATGTGAGCAGAATACTAACAGACATGGAGGTAAACCCATTGAAGAACGCTTTACTTAGAGTTAAAATGATGGGCTGGGAACCAATACTTTGATTTAAAAAAACTAATAACCCCATTCAAAATCCATTTTTACATTTCTTTCATTTTCACTGCTTTAGGCCCATGCCCCACTAATAGTAAATATTGGTGTAAGTAAAAAAAAAAAAAAGACCTCTAAGAGTTTGCATTGTACGCAACAGCTTATTACTCAATACCCTTGCTAAAGTGCATCTTTAAATAAATATAGGAACTTAAGGAAGTTTGAGATGTGAGCTTTCAGTGATATTTTAGGACATATATTAATTTTTCTTACTAGTTTTCCTATTGTCTTTTAATTATTTTTAGATTTACCCTTGACCGCTGCTAATGTATCCTCTATACTTTCACTCTGAATCATTAAGTTTTCTTTCTCTTGTGTTCGTTTTTGTTCATTTACTGTATTGTTTGAGTTGATTATTTCTGTTTCGTTTGCAACGATTTGATTGATTGCTGGCTACCTTTCCCTGTCAGGGCCATCACGCTGTCTCGGCTGTCTGTCTTCTGTTCTGACATTCTGCACGTGTATTTGCAGTGGAAGACGAGCATCCGTCAACTCTCTCGCCCAAAAAAAAGCAGCGCAATGGGGGGATGCGAAACTCACCCAACTGCTCGCCTAAAATGATGAGGTAAGAGCTCGTGATCTCCCTCTCCTTGCAGCCTTCAAACAAAGAAGAGGAAGAAGAAGGATAGGGAGGGAGGGAAGGAGAGATGCGTCTGAGAGATACTTCAGTGTGGTGCTGATGGTGTGATGAGCTTGGATGGATGGGAGGGGGCTCAAATTAGTATTGGCAGATGAGTGAGGTAAGAAACTTTGTGGAAGAAAAAGAGAGGAGAAATGCCCCGTTAAGTTCTGGCTGTTTAGGATGGCATGCTGTCAGCTGTTAATGACAGAGCTGAAATAATATTTCTGTCATGAAAAGCAGCTGTGAGGAGCTGTTTGAAAACTCCTCTGGCTTTAAAGTCCCAGCTGTCACCTCCTCCAGTCTGGTCCACATGTACTACCTAAACAATGCTGGCACTAATGACACCGGCAACCAATCAGAGAGACCTGCGTGGCTGCTTTGCCCTTAGGCGACTTCTCTATTGTGGGAACCCCTGTGAGTACTGTTTCTGGTACTTAAGGCAGGATGTGAGATGTATTATCACAATCAAATATGAATTCAAATATTACCTTCCTTTTATCCTGTCCAGTGGCATTAAGTTGCTGTTAATTGATTTTGAAAGATAAAAGGGGTAGTTTATGTGCACCTCTGTCTGCAAGGCGGGGTTAGACACACGGTAGAGTTTAGAAAACATGGAGGCCGAGCCGAATGGCTTAGGATGGCACAAAAAAGGTACAATTCTATAAATAGGATGGGAGAGAAACAGCCTTTGCAGCACTTTTTGTCTCCTTCTATAAGAGGGATCTGGGTGTTATATTTGTAATTTATATTTGTTTCACACTGTCATCTATGGATTGTCTTGGAAGCTAAATAAATGATAAACATATAAAATTAAAGTATATTGTTGATGAAAACAAAGGGGAGAAAAAAAACCTGCCATTTTTCATACAAATGTTTATTATAACCTCTATAATTCCCTATTTTTAGTTTCAATAAACAGCACAGTCTTGTTGATCTGTTAACATTTAGTCTTTTTACTTGGGCTGAGCTTCTTGTACGTTAGTTGTGCTGGGCTCCCTCAGGCAACGATGCTCCCTCTGCTCTGGTGTGCCTTTGTGATTTTTGTCCAGTATACTTGTCTGCCTCCCCCACAGTTCTGCGCAAAACAAGGACTTAATAAGCCTTTACACTTGCCAAACCATTAGCTCAACACAGAGTCGTACCCTTCAGTCTAGTTTGCAGCAGAGCATCAGTTTGGATGCCCTTGCTCAGAGGGATAAAACCACTACAAAAAAAAGAAAAGAAGAAAAAAATCCACTACTAGACACTGGCATATTTCCAGCTAACTGCTTATTTAAAAGGGTGTTTAGTTTGCCTAACTTAAAGCACAAAACCTTTTCTTCTCATCCCTCTCCTCTAAAGAGATAGTCCCTGTTTGCATGTAATATATGCGCTCTGCTTTGATCTTACAGTGATAATAATTCTTGTTAGTTATTTGCTCAGTTTGGAAAACACTTCAAAGTGGTGTCAAAGTTTTCTCTGCTTTAGGGGTGCATCTGAATACTGCTGGCTCTTGGGTACTGGGATGACAGGTCTTCTGGTATAGGTGTAGATTTTTCTTTTCTTTCTTTGTTTAACAAGACTTAGCCCTTAGCAGAACAACACATTACCCATCATAATCCACTGCCCCTCTCTATTCATTGCTGCCCCTGTCAACATATATTAAACATTCGGTGGATTTTATGCACAATGAAAAGTGATTGCTTGAGGTAGCCTTAGGGAAACTTTATTCTACAATAAAAACAGAGGGTGCACAATAGAAGGCTAGCAGGAGAGTCAACATACGTATCAAGTATGGTTTTTACAGGACTCACTGCCTGAAGGTTTTGTAAATAAATAATGATCAACAGATTGGCTGTGGGCTTTTGAAAAGCATGCCTTTGTCAGTTTGCATGATGGGGAAAATTTTCAAAGCAAGAAGCTGCCTTCATAGCCTGGCAGAGAGGGATTGGGGGAGCACGCCCATCCCCAGCTTGTGACTGCAGAGTGATACACTGGAATAACTCAACTCTGTTTGAAATGTATACAGAGGGAAAGAGTTGGAAAGAAAGAGATGGGTGACGTTGGAGTGAAATATGTAATAAGGAAAATACTTGTTGTTCTTTAAAAATGCTTCTAGAAGATAGAACATATATGTGTGTGTATATACATACATACATACATACTATGAGGCCTCTGTTGACATCTGCAATGACTTTACCAGATACATTGCTGATAAGGTAGAGTTGATTAGGTCATCCATCCCCCAGTCCACAACTGACCCCTCTGTCTTTGTCCCTTGCTCAGCTGTCTTCGAACAGTTTGAACCCATTTCACTCCCATTTCTAAACAAAGTTGTTGGTCAAATGAAACCCTCCGGTTCCCCTGCTGACCCCATTCCTGCATCGTTTTTCAAACAAGTTCTACCCACGATTGGACCCTCTGTCCTTACTATTGTAAATAGTAGTATTGTGACGAGTGTGGTTCCCAATGTTTTCAAACATGCAGTAGTTCATCCGCTAATTATGAAACCTGGACTTGACCTTTCGACTTGCTCAAATTTCAGACCAATCTCTAAACTTCCCTTCCTGTCCAAAATCCTGGAGAAAATAGTTTTCATTCAATTAAACAAGTTTTTGAATGAGAAAAGAGTTTTCAAGATTTTTCAGTCTGGTTTTAAGCAACTCCACAGCACTGAAGCAGCTTTAGTGAGGGTTTGTAACAATATTATGATATCAAATGATTCTGGTCAATTTGTGGTTCTTGTGCTCCTGGACCTTACTGCTGCTTTTGATACTGTTGACCACAGTATCCTTATATCACGGCTGGAACAGTGGGTTGGGATCACAGGTGCTGCATTAGAATGGTTCCACTCATACCTGAGTGGCAGGGGTTTTTGTGTCAAGGTTGGTAATAATGTATCCGCCTCATTACCTCTTTCTTGCGGGGTCCCACAGGGTTCGATTCTTAGACCCCTTCTGTTCTCACTATATTTGCTCCCACTGGGGTCCATCCTGAGGAAACATGGTATTTCATTCCATTGTTATGCTGATGACTGTCAGATGTACCTGCCTGTGAAACCAGCAAGTGTTTGCTCCATTCACCCTCTGTTAAAATGTCTGGACGACATTAAGGCCTGGATGGCTTCAAATTTCTTAAGTTTTAACGATGAGAAGACTGAAGTCATTGTCTTTAGCCCTAGTTCAACTGCCGCCTCTGATCCTGTCAACCTGGACTCTCTTCAGCCATATCTTAAGCAGTCTGGTAAAAATCTTGGGATGGTTTTAGACTCTGACTTCAAGTTTGACAAACAAATCAACTCTGTTCTGCAGAAAAGCTTCTTCCAAATAAGACAGGTAGCTAAGCTCAAGCCAGTATTGTCCAGATCCGACCTTGAGAAACTAGTCCATGCCTTTGTCATGACCCGATTGGACTATTGCAATGCACTCTATGCAGGGGTCAGCCAGGCCTCCATTTCACGTAATCAGCTCGTCCAGAATGCTGCTGCTGGGCTTTTAACCGGAACTCATAGGTCTGAACATATTACACCAGTTCTGTCCTCCCTTCACTGGCTCCATGTTTGTACTAGGATAGTCTTTAAAATTCTTCTGTTGACCTTCAGATGCTTAAATGGCCTCGCACCCCTTTACCTCTCTGAGCTACTGGAACCTTACGTTCCCTCTCGGGCCCTGAGATCATCCGATCAGCTGCTTTTGTCTGTTCCAAAAACAAGACTGAATCTCAGAGGAGATCTGGCTTTTTCAGTCATGGGCCCCAAACTCTGGAACAACCTGCTCCCAACATTAGATATGCTTGCCCTATTCTTTTACTTGGGCGGTTCCACTTCACTTCAAAACTCGGTTCCTCTACCAGAGGCCAGGAAGTTGAGGAGTTGAGGCTTTTGTCAAGTCAAGTCACAATTATTTATATAGCACATATAAAACAGTAACTGTTATAAAAGTGCTTACCAAAAAAGATCACAACATCAAATATTAATAACAACATATTACAGCAACATGAATAAAAGCATAAAAACATTAAATATAATGAGAAACAATGAAATACTAAATCAAATCACCCTGCGGTAAATGTCAGGGAGTAAAAGCAAAATGGATGAACACAATCATCAACAACAAATTACCAAATGAGATCACACTGTGTTAAATGCCAATGAGTACAGATGTGTTTTGAGGAGATATTTAAAAATAGAGACTGAGGTGGCCTGTCCAAGGTTGATGGGCAGATTGTTCCAGAGTTTAGGGCCCATGACTGAAAACGCCCGATCTCCTCTGAGGTTCAGTCTGGTTTTTGGTACGGCCAAAAGCAGCTGGTCTGATGATCTCAAGGCCCGAGAAGGAGTATAAGGATGAAGGAGTTCGGAGAGGTATGAGGGTGCAAGGCCATTAACACACTTAAATGTCCGCAGAAGAATCTTAAAATCAACTCTGACACACACAGGAAGCCAGTGAAGAGAGGACAGAACTGGAGTAATGTGCTCAAACCTGTGAGTTCCTGTTAATAGCCGAGCTGCAGCATTTTGGACAAGCTGGAGACATGAGAGAGAGACCTGACTGACCCCAGCATAAAGCGAATTACAGTAGTCCAGCCGGGTTATAATAAATGCATGGACTAATTTTTCAAGGTCAGATCTGGACAAGACGGACTTGAGCGTAGCTATCTGCCTTAGCTGAAAGAAGCTTTTTTGAAGAACAGAATTTATCTGCTTATTAAACTTAAAGTTTGAGTCTAAAACTATCCCGAGATTAGTAACAGACTGTTTTAGATATGGCTGAAGGGAGTCCAGGTTTGCAGGATCAGTGGCAGTGGCAGAGCTAGGGTTAAACACAATGACCTGTGCAGTATCTTAGCTGTTCCTAGGACTGCAGTCTTGTGGACAGAGATCTCTGAGGTTGTTCCTCAGATCTGTTGGAGCCACTCTTCCAGTTGGGGATCACAGCACTGTTTGCTCCAATGACCACTACTGAGGCTTAGATTCCCCACATCTTCTCTTTTTCCTCTTTCAGCCCTTAGTATTTCTCCAGCTTCTCATGCTCTTTCCTGATGTTACAGTCACTCGGTATTGCTACATCTTTTTTTTTTGTAAGGGGGACAATTGAAAATGCTGTGATTGCTAGTATCACTCAGCCCTCTGTGAATAGTAAACAGCCATCAGTGTGCTAATGATCCATCGTTAGGCTGATGGTCCTTCTTGAGCATGTGATCAGCTGGTTTTGGTTGTCAGCAGCAAAACTGGTTGATCCACTCTGAGAAGGTGCTATTTAAGAGACTGAGCTGCATACAGCACCTCAGACTGAGGAAGTCTCTCGGATGAGAGACGAAACATTTCTACATTTTTTTGTTATTTTGCTTTTTTTTTTTTTTGAATGTCCAGAGGACCATATTTAACTTTTTTAGATTTTTCTACCTGGATTATTGAGCATGCATCAGGAGGTAATTGATGGTTGTTTTACTTTGGAACTGATATGCAAGACACTCTTTGCAATGATCTGACTGAGGGAGTTTAGGCCTATGCAGAACAGGTGTGGGGGACAGAGCATCACCTTGGTATATGCCACAATTGACAATGACTTGTGAAATTGGCTTTGAATTGGCCTCTAGAGTTGTCTTCCATATTACCATTGAGTTCTTGATGAAGGCTCTTATTGTCCTGTTGATGTTATAAGTTCTATTTGTACAGCAATTTATAATGTTGTGCGTGTGTGTGTGTGTGTGTGGGTGGGGGTGGGGGGTTGTATGTGCATGTGTGTGATGTTCAGACATAGGAAGATTTATAAATATATATATACATAAAAAAATTAGTTTGCAATCTTATGCAATATTAATTTATTGAGTGTAGTGTCACTGTGATTTGGTCAATAATGGTAAACAAATTTGTTTATTGTTCGTATAAATGGTGGCATGTAGCACTGTTATGTTATCAATGTGGTACTAGAGCATTAATTAATTATTATTATTTAATTAGCTACATTGCACCATGGCATTAAAACTGCTCTTTAAACATTTGAGACGGGTCATGACTGACAGTGCACATCCACTATCAGAGGATGTCACTGTATCATCGGCGGCTGATATCCCCTGGGCGTGGCCCTGCAGCGCAGACGTGATGTCTGCTTCTCTCAGCCTTGTGGTAGGTTCAGCCTGAGGCATGGAGGAGGAAGAGGAAAGAGGAAAGAGGAGGGGGTGGGGGGTTGTGCGGAACCTGTGACAGGCTGCCAGTCACATCGCTGACAGCTCTGTGAAAGATAGCTGTCTTGGCAGAGAGAGGTGGAGCAGCAGCCCGCCTGCATGCGCCAGTCAGCCTGTGTGGAGGCGAGCTGAGCAGAGCAGACTGAAGTGACGGCGGCCTCCATGGAGTTGATTGGCGCAACACGCGGCTCTGGATGAAAGATTCAGGCTGAGTGTAAAAACACTAAATGCTGTCAGTGTTATTATCACCTGCTCTAACTGATGGAGGGTAGAAGGGGAAGGAGCCAGGAAAGTGAGGGTGGCTAATTGACAGCATTTTTTTTACCCCTCTTACTTTTCCTGCCATGGCATGCAATCCAAATGCAGGTTGGAGGAAGAGACAACATCAAAGCCCTGTCAGTGAATGGCAGTGTTGATAGAGGATACAGAAAGTGATAGTGAGAGAGATGTATGTCAAATTCTTGAGATGTTTTCTCCCATAATACTCACATGTGTCTCTCTGCAGTTTGGCTGTGGGAGTCAGCACTTGGTGCTGCTTTATTTGGGTTAAACACTAAATACATTATTTTTGCATCTTGATTGCGTTTAGGGAAAGTGTGAGCATACGTCTTGTAGGATAAGTGCAACGACTGGAGAGTTGCTATAACAGGACCGAGTGTAGCCCTTTCATGGTCAGTGTTACACTGAATCAAACTCAGCAGCCCACTGCTGTGGATTAGCCAGTTTCGTTGTGACATGCTGCTGAAACATTAATGGCCATCATTTGAGAGAGCAAAATGTGATTAGGCAAATTCTTGAAATATTTAAAATTTGAGCCTGTTGGAGCTTTTACTATTTGCTCCACATGGCATCAGGAACTGGAAAAAGAGGATAAAAGCTGGTAATTGGCTTTGTGTTGTCATGTCATTTAGTCAGTAGCACTCAAGTCTTGCTGTTTTTTTTGTAGCAATGTGAGCAAAAGAGCTTTCGGATATTTTGACTATAAGGATGAGAAGGAATGGTTGAATGATATTGTAGTTATGAGGCCTACATAATTTAGGGCAGGGAGTTTAACACTTTTAAACAGGATGGGTTTTTAATATGCTGAATGTATAGATCTGAAGACTTTCTGGTGCTTCATCAACCATAGTCATTAAACATGTTTGCTGTGTTTTTCAGTCGACACGATCCCCTTCTAATTCCTGGAAATGAGCAAATAGAAAACATGGACATGAACGTGAAGCGGTACGACTCAACTGGGATGTTCCACTGGTGCCCTTCCAAAGACATCGAAAAGGTCATCCTGGTAAGAAGAGCTCAAAGGAGCTAACTACAATCCTGCAATTATTACAACTGAAAACACAAAAAGTGCAAAAGCCAAGCTTGCTTAGGATCCAGTGTTTCCCCATCTATGCAGAAACACAATCACATACTAATGTATACTGACATTTCTTTCACTGCCTCTCTGTTGTTTCAAGGTGAGTTTTTTAAATTTATTATATATTTATAACACATTTTAGTTACATTTATTGGAGATTCTATCAAGAATCTGTGCAAAGACTTTTCTCTGACTTCTAACATTATATCATTTACATATGTTTTTAGGGTTAAAAGTGTTGCAGTAAATGTAAAACTGGATTTAAGTAGCTGAAGTTTGTATTTAATTCTGTAGCGTTGTGACTGATACACAAACGATCATTCTAAGCCTACTAATAATTATTTATTCTATATTTAAAAGGATTCTGACCAAAGGTTCTATAAGCTGCCTTTCCCTTAAAACTGCTTTGTGTGCAAATATATATATATAT